TCAGAGCCAACTTCCTTGCCTTGTGCCTGATTTTAGGGAGAAAACGTCGTCTTTTACCATTAAGTATGAGTTAGCTGTACATTTTTTTGGAGTGCCCTGTACGAGGTTAAGGAAGTTTCCCTTTATTTCTGGTTTGTCGTGTGTTTTCATCATAAATTGTATCAAATTGTGTCCAGTGTTTTTTTGCATCTGTGAAGATGATTATGGTTTTTTTTACTGTTTATTCTGTTGACCTAGTAAATTACATTGACTGGGTTTTGAACACTGAACGACACATTCCCAGGATAGTTCCCCTTGGTTGTGATATATTATCCTTTTTTGTATTGTTGGATTCACTCTGGAGGATGTTAAGGGGACATGACAGCTAAATACAGTTGGGATCCTGGATTGGATCCCAGGAAAGAAATAGGGTATTAATGGACAAACTGATGAAATTCAAATTAATTCTGTAGTAATATTGTATGAATGTCCATTTCTTAATTTTGATAGTTTCCCCACGGTTCTATTAGCTTCTGTTAGGAGAAGCTGGATGAAGAGTATACGGGAACCCTCTACTATTTTTGTGACTTTTCTTTAAATCTAAAATTATGTGAAAATAAAAGTTTAAAATAAAAATGAAAAAGTGATTTCTTATGGGCAGCGTAGTTGAATATTTTTTTAATCCAATTTGACAGTCTTTTTTCTTTTTTTAATAAATTTAATTTTTTTATTTTTGGCCGCATTGGGTCTTCGTTGCTGGGTGCGGGCTTTCTCTAGTTGCAGTGAGCAGGGGCTACTCTTCGTTGTGGTGCACGGGCTTCTCATTGCGGTGGCTTCTCTTGTTGTGGAGCATGGGCTCTAGGCACGTGCGCTTCAGTAGTTGTGGCACGTGGGCTCAGTAGTTCTGGCTCATGGGCTGTAGAGCGCAGGCTCAGTAGTTGTAGCACACGGGCTTCGTTGCTCCACAGCATGTAGGATATTCCCGGACCAGGGCTCGAACCCGTGTCCCCTACATTGGCAGGTAGATTCTTAACCACTGTGCCATCAGGGAAGCCCTCCTTTTTTTAATTTATTTTTTATTGCGGTAACGTTGGTCTGTAACATTGTAAGTTTCCTGTGTACAACACTATATTCCTATTTCTGTGTATATTATGCCATTCCACCAAAACTTCAGTTTCCATCTATCACCATACACTTGATCTCCTTTACCCATTTCACCCTCCCCCATTCTGTGCCTTTTAATTGGTTTTTGATATATGATTATTTTAATGTAATTATTGATATATATATAGTTGGGTTTAACGTTAGCATCTAGCTGTTTATTTGTCCCATATTATCTTTGATCTTTTTCCCTCTTTTCCTGCTCTTTTTGCATTAATGGAGTATTTTTTATGATTCCATTTTATCTTTTTGGTTGGTTTATTAGTTATGCCTCTTGTGTTTTATAAGTGGTTGCTTTAGAATTTATAGTATGTAAACATATACTATGTATCAAAATCTGCTTTCGGCTAATATTATACCACTTCATGTATGGTGTAAGAACCTTACATTTCTGCTTTCCCAGCCCATGTTCTGTTTCATACATTTTATTTCTACATTCTTTATAAACCCTACAATACTTTATTTCCTTCCTTCCTTCCTTCCTTCCTTCCTGTCATAAAATGTACATGGAATAAAATTTACCATTTTATGTATTGACTTCCTCTTGGTACCATCATTCTTCTGTGGGAGGGACTTCTTTTCAGTTTTCTTGTGGTGCAGCTTTGCAGGGGTAAGTATCTACAGCTTTTATGTATCTGGAAAGTCTGTTTCATCAGAAAAGATTACTGTGTTGACAATATTTTTCTTTTAGCGGTCTCTTCTGTTTTAGCATTGTTTCTGATGAGATGTCTGCTACCATATTATTTTCATTTTTTTTCATGTGTGTTTCTTCGTATCTGGCTGCTTTTAAGTGGTTTTAGAGAAACTGCTATTAGTGTAGTTTTCTTCACATTTTTCTCAGGGTCCTTTGAACTTCTTGGATCTGTGTGTTTATCAACTTTGGTAAATTTTGGTCATTATTTCTTTAAACATTGTTTTTTCACCAACCATACCACATTCCCACACTCCTTCCTCCCTGCTCTCCTTTGGAGATTTTTTATATATATATAAAGCATACGTATCTATAAAAAAGATATACATATATAAAGATATAGATATATATATTTGCTTGAGGTTGTCCCACGACTCACTGACGCTCTGTTGTTGTTTTTTTGTCTATTTTATTTTGTATAGCTTTTATTATTATGTCTCATGTTCACTAATCTTCTTTTCCCCCCGGTATTTGGTCGGCTGTTAATCTGATCCAGTGTTTTTCATCTTAAACATTGTTTCATCTCTGGAAATTTGATTTGTGTCTTTTTATTTTTCCATGTCTCTCCTTAATATGCTCATATTTTCTTCTGTGTTTTTGAGCATTTGGTTTTAATAACTCTTTTTTTAAAATAAATTTATTTTTGTCTGCGTTGGGTCTTCGTTGCTGCGCGTGGGCTTTCTCTAGTTGCAGCGAGTGGGGGCTACTCTTCGTTTTGGTGCACAGGCTTCTCATTGCAGTGGCTTCTCTTGCTGTGGAGCACGGGCTGTAGGCACGCGGGCTTCGGTAGTTGTGGCACGCAGGCTCAGTAGTTGTGGTGCACGGGCTTAGTTGCTCTGCGGCATGTGGGATCTACCTGGACCGGGGCACGAACCCATGTCCCCTGCATTGGCAGGCGGACTCTCAACCACTGCGCCACCTGTAATAACTCATGTGATACCCTTGTCCACTGGCACCTTTGTTACTTCTAGGTCATGTTCAGTTGATTGATTTTCTTTTCGTTATCACTCATATTTTCCTGCTTCTTCATGTGCCTGGTGGTTTTCTCTTGGATGCCAGTCATTGTGGAGTTTACATTCTTGGTGCTCTGTGTGTGTGTGTGTGTGTGTGGGTGGGTGGGTGGGTGGGTGTGTGTGGGTGTGGGTGTGTGGGTGTGGGTGTGTGTGTGTAGTATGGTCTTAAGCTTTGTTCCAGGGCTCGATTAAGTTACTTGGAATAGTTTGACCCATTCGAGACTTGCCTTTAAGTGTCGTTAGAAGGAGCAGAGGAAGCCTGTAGGGCACTGTTTTCAACTTTTTTTTACTGCTCTCTCTTCCCCCAGAGCCTTTTTAGACATCTTTTTACCCTAATCACATCCGTCTGTGAAATTTTAATGCCACAACTATATTATTATCTGTTTATGTATTATACATGTTGCTGTGCTTTATACATAAAAAAATATTTTTTTGCTCCCCTTCCTCCAGAACCGTTTTCACCCCCTTGGGGGTGATGTTGCCCTGTTGAGAATGCATGGTCTCGGACTGATTCTTTGCTACTAGTAACACATGACTCTTCCTCCTTGTATCTAATATCCTGTATTCTAAGGCAGCGAGATAAATCCAGTCCCTGTATCTCCGTCTTGCGGGAAGGAAGTCTTCCCAGATCCTGGCAGTTTCTTCAGAGTTGAACATACCCTACCATACAGCCCAGCCACTGCGCTCCAAAGTGAAATGAAAACATGTAGTTGCACCAAAACTTGAATATGAATGTTCACAGGATCTTTATTTCTAAGGGCCAAAAACTGGGAACCAACCAAATGTCCTTCAAGGGGTGAATAGATAAACAATTTTATACCCATACAGTAGGTAGTGAACAATAAAAAGGAATGAAGTATTTATACTTGCAACAATATGGATGAACTTCAAAATCATTAGGCCAAATTAGGCCAGATCAAAAAAAAACACCTTGTGATTCCATTTATATAAAAACTCAAAAAATGCAAACCAATCTGTAGCTGAAAAGATTAGTGGTTGCCTAGAGATGGAGGTGAAGGGAAGGATTGATCACAGAGGGACATGAGGAAATTTCGGTGGAAAAGGAAATGCTTTTGTTGATTGTGCGAATGGTTTCATGGGTGAACAGATGTCAGAACTCAAAAAATTATTCTAAATATGTGCAGTTTATTGTGTGCCAATTACATATGTCAGTAGAATTGTAAAAGTAAAAAGTGAGGGGTTTGGGGCTTCCCTGGTGGCACAGTGGTTGAGAGTCTGCCTGCCGATGCAGGGGACACGGGTTCGTGCCCTGGTCTGGGAAGATCCCACATGCCGCGGAGCGGCTGGGCCTGTGAGCCATGGCCGCTGGGCCTGCGCGTCCGGAGCCTGTGCTCCGCAACGGGAGAGGCCACATCAGTGAAAGGCCCGCGTACCGCAAAAAAAAAAAAAAAAAAAAAAACCAAGGGTTTGGACTCCATTTGGGGAACCTGTATTTCTCATTAGTGACCCATATGTATAAAAATCTATAAGCGTGGTTATGGTTGCTTTTATGGTTTATGATAGTGATGAAGTTATAATAGTGATGAAGCTTAACTTGTTGGCAGCTGATGAAAACACTTTTACCTGATTCTTATAAAAGTGTTGCTGCAGACCTAACACAGTGATGGTTGAGTTTTGCTGTGATGATTGTGTGTGTTGGTGGTAAACAGACTGACCTGTTCTCAAGAACCCGTGGACTCTGGGGAAAGGGTGTGGTTCTGAACACTGGTGGAGCTGGGTCCAGAAGCTGCCTGGAGTCTGGCTATGTAGCCAAACGTTTTAGGGCAGTGCTGGCAGCTGCGTGTTTATTGTCTAATTTTCTAGAAGGTACAGTTGATAAAACAAAAATTCAAGTTTAGTAATAAATGCCTGCAGAAAAGTTTAGGTCTCATAAATGAGTTTCTGCAGTTTTACGCAATGAATACACCCAGATCAAGAAACAGAACATTACCTGGTAGTGGTAATTTTCTGAAATGCAGTTCTTTCTGGGCGAATAAGGTAAAATTGAACGCATGCTGAATAACCATGGCTAGACAATTTCCAGGTCTGAAGTTTCTGATGCTGGGATTGTATAACATACAACAGTTATTCTGTTTACTTCTATTTGTGTAAACATAGGTTATATTTTGTTTAATCAAAATATTTCCTCTTGGCAGTGGACTCTCAAAAAATTGACCGAGAGGGAAAAATCCCAAATGAAACTTTAGAGAAACTGAAGAGCCTGGGGCTTTTTGGGATGCAAGTCCCAGAAGAATACGGTAAGTAAAGGAAACCACCACCCAACCAGTTTGGCTTTTAAGAAAACCCTCCGTATTTGTCCAAAAAAGGGTTCTGTTCCAGAAAGGTGGCCTTTGAAAATGCACGAAGTCCAAGGTCAGGCTGTAAAACGTCCCTTTGTGGGTTAAATCCAGGGTGGCTGGCTGGTGAGTGTGTGGCCCAAGAGGCTTTTCAGCAGGAAGAGCTATCCAGTTCCCTGCCTTCCTCCTCAGAGGTGGGGAGGGACCCTGCAGGATGTCTGTGCTCTCTGGGTCCCTTGGGTGGGGGAGGAGGGGTGGGTATCACCTCCGGCCAGCTCGGGCCGGTGCAGCGTGGTCTCCACTGTGAAGCCCTGTGGTCTCTCTGGCAGAGGAGCTGCCCCAGGCCCGCAAATGCTTTTGTGTGTAGGGAAGGCCACGCGCTGCGCGCCCAGGGGCCAGGGCCCAGCGGCCGAAGGAGTCGGTGTACGGCTGTGGGGCGCGGGCCGCCTCGGGGAGGTGGAGCCCTGGTCTTGGGAGCTTGCGAGCAGGCCCGTTGTCCTCTGGGCCGTGCTCGTTGCTGTTGGAGGTTTACAGTGGAAGGCCCTGCCTTCCCCCCAGGATCCCCGCCCGGTGGCTGTGCCCTGTTAGACTGAGCCCGTCGTGCAGCTTGTGTGTCTCCTGCCTGATATAGGGGTGGTCCTCTCAGTTCTGTGGGAGCGAGGGGACAGGCACGGAGTGTGTGAGGGAGGAGCAGGGACAAAACACAGTCCCTTGCGAGCACTGGCACGGACGCACGTCCCTGTATTTTCACTCTCGGGATCTTTTGACGAAGACGTGTGGCCTTCATCCCGCACCCCCTGCTCTCTGAGCCCTCCCGCCGAGCCCAGGCTGAGGCGGCTTCCGGCTTCATGAGCACAGGGTCAGTGGTTTGGACCCGAGAGCTGTAGGTGGTGTGTGACACCCAGGTACGTTCTCCCAGCCAGGTCGTGGGTTAGGCCTGCATGGCGAGGCCCGGACGCGGGAGCTGTCCTTGACGTTCTGCCTCTGCCGGGTTTATCTCAGTGAGACCTGTGCCCCCCGCACACCCCACCCCACAGCCAAGGGTGGGGGCCCTCGCTGCCTGTGCAGGAAGTCCCACTGGGACCTATCCTGCAGCTGCTGCAGTCTGAGACAAAATGTGAAAATATAGAACAAACGAGTTTGATGCCTGATTTCCTTGATTGAGAGGCATATTTTAATCAGGTTAAATCTTCGTTTATATGTGTGTCTGTCGCAGTGTATTAAGCTGTTAAAGGACGTCTCCTACTCGTCATCCTATGAAATCCCTGTCACCGCGTTTCCAAATGTGTGGAAGGAGTTCCAGTCTGTGCAGAAAACATGAAATAATTGCTGTTGCTGCTCCCTCTGGTGGCGGGATGCAGCACAGGCCTCTGGGGGGAGCTACACCTGCAGCCTCTGGGGACCGGGGACTGAGCTCTCCCCACACCTGGAGACCTGTCGGTGTCACTTGTCGGTAACTCACAGGCCCCGGGGAACTGTCTGCCGTAAGGTGGGGGCCACGTCGAATATTAGAATAGAGACCAGGTGGGGCTGAGCCACAGAGTGGCAGTTGGTGTCATGAGCTGAGAAAAATAAGTGTTTGGAGAAAACAGAGAGTGGAGGAAAGCTGGCAGACAGCCAGGTTGGTGATTATGTTTCCCCTTCAGAAGCGTTAAGAAACGGCTTCTTGACTGAGGAGAAGCAGCAGTTTTCCTCCAGACAATTTTTGTGTGAAATTGGAATATGTCTTTTTGCATCTCTCTGTGTTTTATGCCAGCTCGTGTGTGGTGTGTGTGTGTGTGTGTGTATGTGATTGCACAAATCCATCCCTTATTCCTGTTTTATATCCCCTTCTTGGGTGTGAAAATGCTCTTTCATGAGATGACAGTGGTCACATTTGGGACTATTTCATTGTCTTTCCTTTTTTTAAATCCTTCCTGGGGAGATTAAGGCGACAGCAACCTTATGTTCATGGCCAAAACATTTTCGGGAATTGTTCCCAGTCCTGGAGTGTTCTGAAGGCTGGTTGGAAACCGCCATCCTGGAAAAGAGGCCTTTCCACCGGCAGCCTGGTTTCCACCCCCAGTTCCCTGGGTACCCCCCGGGTCTTTCTGGCCCCTCAGCCCCTCCCCCCCGTCAAGCAGTCTCCACCCACCTGTCATCTGTCCCCATTGATTGTCCTCCCCCCATGATTTTTCTGATACTTTCGTGGGGAAAAAAATACACAGCTTTTTTTTTTTTTAACAAGCAACACTGACTTCAGTATGTGAAACAAGTAGGAGCACAAGCGTTTTGATTGAAAGCGGCATGGTGATGGGTGCCGCAGGGCCCTGGCCTTCCCTGGGTCCCCGCTGAGCGCAGGGGACGCTGCGCACCCCTGCAGGGACTCGGCCCTCCCCTTGTGTGGAAGGCGCCCCCTGCAGTTGGGCCGCACGTGACCTTAGGCCTCGGGTAGTCATTTGTAAGGTGCACACAAGGCCACCCCACCACTGCCGGAAGTTGAAGATAAAATGCAGAATACCCAAGTTCAGCGGAGCCTGCGTTTTTAGTGTTTTCTCTTTTTGCTCCTAGAACACTGACTCCTTCCGAGGGTGACTTTGCCCCCCGACCCTGGGTGGGCATTTGGCAATATCTAGAGACATTTATGTTGTCAGAACTGTGGAGGAGGGGGAACTTCTAGTGGGCAGAGGTCAAGGATGCCACCCCACGTCCTACAGCACACGGGGCACCCCTGCGACAGAAGGACCCAACCCCGGATTCCAGTATCCCAGGCAGAGAGACCTTTCCTGGAGGCCACGAGATGCTGGGGGTGGGTTTCAGAATGGGGTTCATGTTTGTGAAGCCCAAGATCTGTGATAGGAAGTATTCACAGCATTTCAAGTAACTTTGTGTGTTTAGGTGTTCATATGTTTTTGTATTAAATATTACATTTTTATATTAAAATATACACCTGTATACGCTTACATGCCTAGAAGAAGTCTGAGAGGATGTGCACAAAAGTGCTCTTTCTGAGTGACAAGTTCATGGGTAGTTTCTGTTTCCTTTGTACCATTCTGTGTTGTGATTTTTAAAAATTGGGGAGCTGACTTTATGAAGCCACTTGCCTTTCCTGGGAGGAATTTGGGGCTGGAGCGTAAGTGAAGCTGGCCTGTTTCTGCCCTAGGTGGCCTGGGCCTCTCCAACACCATGTACGCGCGGCTGGGGGAGATCATCAGCCTGGATTGCTCCATCGCCGTGACGCTGGCAGCACACCAGGCCATCGGCCTCAAGGTCAGGGGTCTGGGTTTCCGCAGTGGCGAGGGGGCAGCCGGCTCAGCATCTCGGAGGAAGGCCCGCTGTCCTGCAGCCTCACTGTCCTGCAGCCTCGCTGTACCGTGCTCAGTGCCCTTCGGTGGCCCTGTCCTTCCTTTTGAAACCTCCTCCTGCCCCATCGCCTCTGACCCATCCTTCCAGGCCCAGGCCAGATGCCACTGCCTCCATGGAGCCTGCCTTCACCACAGGCTGGAGGTGACCCCACCTCTTGATTGGCTCCCTCGGGGCCTGAGCGTGTCCCCCCTGCTTTTGGCACCTGTCATCCTACTCCGCTGCTTGGAGTCTTTCAGGGCAGGTCCAGGGGCCCACAGCTCATTCCTTGGGTGGTTCTTGTTCAGTGTAGAAACCGAGGGGGCTGAGTGCACAGCAAGCTTGGTGCCCGGGCGTGGCGCTGCCCAAGCACCAGCTGTGGCTCCAGCCACCCGGCTCTGGCCACCCTGCTGGGAAGTGGAGGAATTGCCGGAAAGACTGAGGCCCTTCCTGGAGCTGTGCCAGGCCACCCTGGACTGTGTGCTTGGGGGTCTCCCTGGCAGCCCAGCTCCCCAGACCCTCCAACAGCTCCCCATTTTTTACTGCGGCTGCCAGCTCTTGCGTGAAGGAAGCGTGTTCCAGAGGGGCTGTGTTCTGCAAGCACGTTTCACACACTTCTCTCTTGCCACCGCTGAAAGCAGCCCGTGTGTGTTGCCAGGGCATCATCTTGGCCGGCAGCGAGGAGCAGAAGGCCAGGTACCTGCCCAAGCTGGCTTCCGGGGAGCACGTGGCCGCCTTCTGCCTGACGGAGCCAGCCAGGTCAGCCCTGCGCGTCACTCACAGCTTCAGGGTCCAGGGGCTTTTCTTTTTACTGAAGCGGGGTGGCTGGCTTCTTCCCTCCCTGAAGACTTCCCGGGAGTTGAGTCCACAGCTTTTCTCACCCATTCTCTTCATGCTCTCTTATCTCTACCTTACTTCTCTTTCCTGGTGACCTTTACAAATGACATAACATGGCTGACAGCACCTGTAATTTCTTTGTGCTTTGCAACCCTCCTTATATACAGTAATGCATTCAGGCTTCACAGCGACTTTCAGAGTATAAAGGGCGGGTGGTATTGTGCCCACTTTACAGGCTGTGAACTGAGGTTCAGTGAGATGGGGTGATGAGCCCCGAGTCTCATAGCCGCCATCAGGGCAAGTCCGTTATCCAGCCCCTTTCCATCCTGCTTCCCCACCTGGGGACCTGGGTCCCCTGCGCTCGCCTCGCGGGAGCTTAGAGCCCACGTGAGCCGGCATTTCCGTGTTTAGACCTCCCAAACGTCGTCGCTGCCGCCTTCTCACCCGATGTGACAGAGCGGGGTTGGCCAAACCCACCTCGCCACCTGTTTTCATAGATGAAGTTTTACTGGAACATGCCCGTCTGTCTACAGATTGTCTGTGGCTGCAAAGCTGAATATGTCTATTAGCTGGCCCTTTGTTTTCCGTGGGGTCTTGTCTCCAGCATTACCCCTCAACAGCGTATTTCTTTCGCCGCAGTGGGAGCGATGCTGCCTCCATCCGGACCAGGGCCACGTTAAGTGAAGATAAGAAACACTACGTCCTCAATGGCTCCAAGGTACAGCTGCGTGGCCTCCGTGGCCGCGTCAGGGTCTCCATCCTGACCTTCACCACCACGCACTGACCACTTCCCATGCTCCAGGGATCATAAAGGGCAGGCACATCACCCCCTTAACCGTCATCCTCGGGTGATGTGCCTCCTTTTTGGAAGAAGAAACGGTGGCTCAGAGAGGTTACATGACCCGCCACCATACCGTCCGCTTAGTGGCCGGATGGGAACCAAGGTGTCCTGGCTCCTGAGCCCGCAGGCCTCCGTAGTGCTGCCCACCTCCCTGAGCTGCTCTCGTGTGTCCATTCTTTTAACTTTTTATTACACGGATTTTGAAACACAAAAGTTTAGTGTCGTGAACGTCCACCCCCGTCTCCCGGCTTCAGTGCTTCCTCCGTCACGCTGCAGTCCTGGATGGCAGCCGTGACAAGCTCAGTGCATCTCTGCAGGACGGGCCTGAGAAAGTCACGGCGTACACTTAAACCTTGATCATTTCTTACTATCTGCTTAACGTTCAAACTTCCCTGATTGTCTCATACTTATTTTTTACAAACAAGTTGCTTGAATTAAGATCCAAATAAGTTCTACATGGAGCAGTTTGTTGAGAAGTCTGTTCCCCCTCCCCCTCCC